GCTGCTGATCAGGCAGCTTTAAATGTTTCTCTTTGAGAACAGACCTTCACATTCCTGAGGCTGAAACCTAAGGTGATGGGATTATGGGAGTTGCTGAAACTGAAACAAGCTCTCTTTTAGTTTCGTTACATTTACGCTTTGCCTTGTGAACGGTCGTAAAATTCCATAACAATTTCCCGCCACAGGATTCTCAACACAATATTGTTTTGGTTTAACTGGTGTAAGTTTTTTTCAATCATAGAATCCCTACGGTGCAGATAGAGTTCATTCGGCCCATCGGGTTTGCACCGACCCTCCAAAGAGTATTCCCCTCCATCCCCATAATACAACATTTCCCATGGCTAACCCACCTAGCCTGCACATCCCTGGATACTATGGGGTAATTTAGCATGGCCAATCCACCTAACCTGCATATCTTTGAACTGTGGGAGGAAACCAGAGCATCCGGAGGAAACCCACATGGGCAACGGGCAAATGCCACACAGACTGTGACCCAAGGATGGAATTAAATCTGGAGGCCTGGCACTGTGAGGCAGCGGTACTAACTACTTTTACCTGAGTTACCTGGTTAACACTGCAGACCTAGTGCACAAATAGTTCCTTCTCTTACAGATTGACCTTGTTGAATATTAATTTTGTATACAGTTTAAAGTTATAAATGATGTTATTAATTTCGCTGAAAAGACCCAAAAAGTGTAATATTTTAGTCAGGAAGTTGGTGATATTTAAAGACTGAAACAAAGGAAATAATGACAGCGTTTTGAAAACTGTGGTTAATATCAATCAAGCACTCTAAAGCACATTAATTCACATTACCTGCATCACATTTCCGTTTCCTCCATGTGCATGCCCACATTCAATTCTGAAGTGTCATGTTAACTCATTTAAAGCTTTGTTCTCAAAAGAGTTGCTTATTAACTGATCAGGGAAAGTATGCCCAGGGTGAGTCACAATTTTTCAATTCAATTGTTAATGCTTTTAGCTAGTTAGTGGTAAGATTTTAAAAAATATTTACCTTATTGGTTAGTGCTTATAAGTGTTAGAGTTTCAGGGGCTGAGTTGGATAATAAATGAGGTGTTAGCCAAAGGGTTATGTTTCTGGTTAATTGTTTTTATTGTGTGGGTGTTGCTATTAGGCCAGTATTTAGATCATAGAATCATAGATCATGGAATTCCTGCAGTGTGGAAATGGGCCCTTTGGCCCAACAAGTCCACACTGACCCTCCCACCCAGGCCTGTCATGTGTAACCTACCTAATCTACACATCCCTGAATGCTATGGGCAATTTTTTTAAGCATAGCCAATCTACCTAGCCTGCTCATCTTTGCACTGTGGGAGCAAGCCCACACAGACACAGGGAGAATGTGCAAACTCCATGCAGACAGTTGCCTGAGGGTAGAATTGAACCTGGGTCCTTGGTGCTGTGAGGCAGCAGTGCTAACCACTGAGCCACTGTGCCACCCCCATTTATTAGCCATCTTTAACAAGTAAGAATTGACCAATTTCTACAGACGAGATTCTAACTCCACTTCATCACTAGGACATTAAACCAAGTTAGTTAAATACATTCAGTTATACTGGCATCAGCTCATAAGACATAGGAGTAAATGTAGGCCATTCAGCCCATCGAGTCTGCTTTGTCACTCAATGAGATCGTGGCTGATGTGATAATCCTCAAATCTACTTGTCTGTCTTTTTTCCAATGGCCCTTGATTCCCTTACTGATTAAAAATTCATGTCAGCTTTGAATATATGTAATGACTCAGACTTGACTGGCCTCTGTGGTAAAGGATTTGACAGATTCTGAGGTTTTGGAGTAGATTCACATTCTGATAGAAGAAATTCTGTCTCATCTCTGTATTAAAGGGGCAACCCCTTACTCTGATTCGATTTGATTTTTTATTGTAACGTACCTAGCACAGTGAAAAGTGACAAGTTTTGTTCTGCGTGCAGTACAGGCAGATCATAACATACAAAGTGCATTAGAGTAATAGAACAGAGCGAGGAATATAATGTTACAGCTGCAGAGAAGGTGCCCAAAGAGCAAGATCGACATTAAATTTAAAGTTTGAGAGTTCCATTCGGAATTCTTATAACAGCAGAGAACAAGCTGTTCTTGAATCTGTTGGTATGTTTGTTTACATTTTGTATCTTCTGCCTGACAGAAGAGGTTGGAAGAGATTATAACCGGGGTGGGAGGGGTCTTTGTTGATGTTAGCTGCCTTCCCGAGGCAGTGGGAAGAATAGATGGAGTCAGTGGATAGAAGGTTACTTTGTGGGATGGACTTGGCTGTATTCTCAACTCTCTGCCTATGTCCTTCAAGTGAATAAATCAATAAACATTGTACCCAGGAATGTTAACACTGGTCTTGCCCTTCCTTAAGCCTCTGTCACACCACAACGGCACGGTGGCTCAGTGGTTAGCACTACTGCCTCACAGCACCAGGGACCTGGGTTTGATTCCACCCTCAGGTGACTGTCTGCGTGGAGTTTGCATATTCTCTCAGTGTCTGAGTGGGTTTCCTCCCACAGTCCAAAGATGTGCAGGTTAGGTGGATTGACTGTGCTAAATTGCCTGTAGTGTTCAGGGATGCCTAGATTAGGTGGGTTATAGGGGGATGTGGACTGGTTGGGCTGAAGGGCCTGTTTCCACACTGTCAGGATTCTATGACAACATCATATTTTCACAAAATGATGAGCATCTGTAACTGCCTATGTAATTACCCAACATGCACCTTCACTCTATTTTGACTTCACTCCCTTTTTTAGTCTGACTTCATCTTCTTAACTTGCTTATGTCTCTGCTATTGCCAAGTGCATCCCTCAGTATTTTGTAAACCCTGGTCTTCTGTACTATTCTCCCTTGGTTACCACATTCTGCCAAGTCAGTTTAAAGCTGACTGAAGGTTTGGTGTAGAGTGGGACTGTTGTTGGGCTGAGGCCTGGGGTGCAGTCAGACCATTCACTCACTGAGCTGCTACAATGCTGTTGTAATGTAATATTGATCTGAAATTCTTTACCGGACTGTAATGTCAATCCTTTAACTATGTTAGAATTATCTCGCTTTTAGCTTATTTTTTAGACACTGTAAGTAATGCGACTATTTTTCCTTTTATTCCCCTTTTGCATCCAAGATTTGCACCTCGGTACGTGTACCTCAGATGGCGCCATTAGAGGCAGCCATTGTAAAAACTTATAATGTACTCCTGTACTTCTGTACTGGAATACATGTGACAATAAAGGAAATTCTATTATGTAGACAGAAAATACCCTGCAAGAAAGTCAGTCCCAGTTCTGTTAAAGTGAAACCTGTCCGGCTTGCTGCTTTGCTGCAAACAGTTCCTGTACTGTAGGAATCTGTGCCATCTTTCCAATCACGCATTTATCTGCCTTCCATTCCTGCACTCCTTGCACAGGAGTAATTGGAGATTGCTACATTTGAGGTTCTATTTGCTCGCTTTCTACTTAACTCCCTATATTCTGATTGCAAAACCATATTCCTCTCTCTACCCAAGTCATTGGTACCAACATGGGCATTGCCCTCTGGCTCTTCACCCTCCCTCTGAAGAACATCCTGCAGCTGCTCTGTGATATCCTGGGACCATGGCACCAGAGAGACAACATAGCATTCTAGAGTCACATTGACAGCCACAGAAATGCCCGTCTGTTCTCCTAACTAACTAATCCCCTATCACTATAGCTCTTTCTTTCTTCTTCTTCCACTCCTGTACAGCTGAACCACACACTGTGCCACAAACTTGTCTCTGACTGCATTCCCCTGAGGAACTAAGGCTCTCATCAGCTTCCAAAATGGAAAACCGAATTGTGAGCAGGAACCCAGGAGATTCCTATACTACTTAACCTGTTTCTCACTTGAACTGCCTAACAGTGACCCATTCCCTTCCTATATAGGGTGGGACCACCTCTCTAAAAGTGCTACCCACATAACTGCCAGCCTCGCAGATGTGTCCCAGTATCTCCGGACGCATTCGAGCTCTGAAACCTGGAGCTCGGGTTTCTGCAGCTACAACAACTTCCTACACATGCCGACAAAAATCAGAGATTGCTAAAGAAACTCAGCAGGTCTGGCAACTTCAGTGGACAGAGAAACAGGAACGTTCCGAGTCTGGTGATCCTTTTTCAGAACAGGTCACCAGACTCAAAACATTGACTCTGTTTCTCCCTCCACAGACACTGCCAGACCTGCTGAGTTTCTCCAGCAATTTCTGTTTTGTTTTAGATCTCCAGCATCTGTGATTCTTTGTTTTATTTTGGTTGTCTAGCATCCCACATACAGGCCACAAATTCCACTCTACCAAGCAGTGCTACCATGTCTTAAATTTAAACTTACATTGCTTTAAAGGCACATCCCCAGTGTTAACTTTACTCTCCTTCACTTATCTTACTTTGGCTTCTATTACTTTATTGGAGGCAAAGGCCTAGTCATAATATCGCTATACTATTATTCCAGGAAATGTTTGGCAGACCTGGGTTTATATCCCACTGTGGCAGATGGAGGAGTTTGAATTCAATAAAAATCTGGAATTAGGAATCTGATGATGACCATGAATCCATTATCAACTGATGTGGAGAAGCCACCTGATTCACTAAGACCCTTTAGGGAAGGAAATCTGCCATCCTTACCTGGTCTGGCCTACATGTGACTCCAGTCGCCCAGTAATGCGTGGTTGACTCTTGACTGGGACAATTAGGGATAGGCAATAAATGCTGGCCCAGCCAGCAATGCCCTCATTCTGTGGATGAATATAAAAAATTATCTTGTATTGTATGGCTTGTTCTGCAATATATAGTATATTTCATTATTAAATTGGCTCTGACTTTCATGTATTTCTTCTGTTTCTGAGTTTTAGTTCTTAAATAAATATTACACTTTTCTACTTGATAGCAATTTATAGACAATCCCTAACAGCAATATTTTCCGCGCCAAATTTCCTGCAGCTTTTTCTGTGACAGTGATGTTTTTTTCAAGCACAGTGTGGGCTGGATCTTCAGCTGAAGGATGTTCCTGTTCATCTCTCTGTAAAAGGTAGGCCTCCAGCCCTGGCCTCGATTTGTACTCTTCTGCTCCTGTGCACGGTGCTGGAGCGGGCTCCTGGATTACTAGTCTAGTGGCATCATCTTCTGCTCCCCTTGGGTGCGTTCTTTGGTACATCTTAAAGTCCAGCAGATGGAATGCACTGACAGAAGTCTGGTTTCAGTTTGGCTCGGAGGCTTAGCTTGGGCCTGCCAAAGCAAAATCACTTTGAGCTGGTTGAATGAACAGAGGACTTCAACACAGATAGTGTCATGGATTGGGGCAAAACAACGCAATTTGATTCCTCGGGACTGCCGTGCCTTTCAGTGAAGTCAGACATAACCTGCAGAACTTCTTGTTTTTCCTTTACTTCTTCTTTCTGATACTGTGCCTGAAAAAAAATACACACCTACACCGGTTGCTAAAACTGAAATCTGTAAGGTTTTCGTGGTGGCTGAATTCTGGGTTTTTGTTCTACCCTCAGATGGGATGTGAAGTCGCGGGCTGAGCCAGAATTTATTGCCTGTCCCTAATTGCCCCTTGAGAAGGTAAGAAGGCCCTGAAATGGCCTTGCACTTACAATAATTATGGTCCATTTTTCTCAAATGCTTCTCGAATTTCTCTACCCATTCAATATAATGGAGATTAAACCGCGATTCAATAATTTAGATAAGATTGTCAACTGTTTTTCCTGTTTACATTAATCATAGGGTCATAGAGTTATACGGCACAGAAACAGACCCTTTGGCCCAATCAGTCTACACTAACTATAATCCCTGCCTGTGCTTGGCTCATATCCCTCCAAACATTTCTTATTCATGTACTTACATAAATGTCTTTTAAACATTCTAACTGTACCTGCATCTACTCATTCCACAAGAAAATCACTCTCTGATAAAAAAAATTGCCCCTCATGTCTTGTTTAAACCATTCTCCACTCACCTTAAAAATATGCCCACTAGTCTTGAAATCCCCCATCCTAAGGAAAAGACACCTGCCATTCACCCTCTCTATACCACTCATTATTTTTATAAGCCTCCATAATGTCACCCCTCAACCTTCTATGCTCCAGTGAAAAAAATCCCAGCATATCCAGCCTCTCCTTATAACTCAAACCCTCCAACTTCCTGGTAAATCTCTTCTGAACACTCTCCAGCTTCATAATATCCTTCCTATGACAGGGAGACCAGAACTGGACACAGTATTCCAGGAAAGGCCTTACCAACTTCCTGTACAACCTCAATAACATTCCAACTCCTATACTCAAAGGTCTGAGCAATGAAGGCAAGCGTGCTAAATGCCTTCTTAACCATGCTACATAAATGTGATGCAAACTTCAAAGAATTATGTACCTGAACCCCTAGGTATCTCTGCTCCACAACACTGCCCAAGGCTCTACTCTTAATGATATAATTCTTGTCTTTGTTTATTTTACCAAAATGCAATGCCTCGCATTTATCCAAATTAAACTTAATTTGCCACTCTTCAGCCCATTGACCCAATTGATCAAGATCTCTCTGTAATCTTAGATAACCGTCTTTGCTGTCCACTATCCCAAAAATCTTCGTGTCATCAGCAAACATACTAACCATACTTTATATATTCTCATCTAAATCATTTATATAAATGATAAATAAAGGTGGAAGCAGCACCAATTGCTGTAGAACATCACTGGTCACAGGTCTCCAGTCTGAAAAAAAAACAAAAAACAACCCTCCAATAATGCAGCCTTATCAAAATCTTTTACTATTTTGTGGGATGTGGGCATTGCTTGTAAGGCTTGAATTTATTGACCATCCCTAATTACCCACAGTGCCATTAAGAGTCACCCACATTGCTGCGGGTGGTGAGCTGCCTTCTTGAACCATTGCAGTCCATGTGCTGTGGGTTGACCCATAATGCCCTTAGGGAGGGAATTCCAGGATTTCGACCCAGCAACAGTGAAGGAACAGTGATATATTTCCAAGTCAGGATGGTGAGTGCTTTAGAGGGGAACTTGCAAGGAGTGGTGTTCCCATGTATCTGCTGCCCTTGTCCTTTTAGACAGAAATGGTTGTGGGTTTGGAAAATGCTGTCTAAGTATCTTGGGAAACTTTCTGCAGTGCATCTTGTATCTATTACTGCTGAGCATTGGTTTGGAGGGAATGGACGTTTGTGGATTTAGTGCCAATCAAGAGGGCTGCTTTGTCTTGGATGGTCTCAAGCTTCTTGGGTGTTGTTGGGGCTGCACTCATCCAGGCAAGTGTGGAATGCTCCATCAGACTCCTGATTTGTGCCTTGTGGATGGATAGGCTTTGAGGAGTTAGGAGTTGAGTTATTCACTGCAGGATTCCTAGCCTCTGACTTGCTCTTGTAGTCACTGTATTTTTTTGGTGAGTCCAGTTGAGTTTCTGGTAAATGGTAACTCTTAGGCTGTCGATAGTCGGGGATTCAGTGATAGCAATGCTATTGAATACTACGCAGCTGGAAGATTGGTGAGGATGAGGTCAAGTATGTTTTTCCCTCTTAGTGGTTCACTCAGCATGTGCTGCAGACCCAGTCTAGCAGCTGTATCCTTTAGGACCCAACCAGTTCGATCAGTACTACTGTTGCTGAGCCACTCTTCGTAGTGGCATTTTTTGCCCTTGCCATCCTCAGTGGTTCCTCCAAGTGTTGCTTGACGTGGAGGAGTACTGATTCATCAGCCGAGGGAGGATGGTACATGGTAATCAGCAGGAGGTTTCCTTGCCCATGTTTAATCTGAACCATGAGACTTCACTGGGGCCAGAGTCAATGTTGAGGATTCCCAGGGCAACTCCTGCCCCAACTGTACACCACCATACCGCCATTTCTGCAGGGTCTGTCCTGCCGATGAAACAGGACATACCCAGGGATGGTGATGGTGATTGTCTCTAAGGTATGATTCCATAAGTATGACGATGTCTGTGAGACAGCTCTCCCAATTTTGGCACTGGTACAACCATCTAACATGACGGGATTAAAATTCAGAACATTGTTTGAGTTTCTCATTAATAGTTCAATGATAACATCACAAGGCCATCGGCTCCCACATGCAACATTTACCTCTTGATTCCACTGCTGAATAACCTTGCACTATTTTTATAATTATGGCTCACTTCTCTCAAATTCTTCTTGAACATCTCTAGCCATTTAGTATAATGGAGATTAATCTTCCATTCAATAACAAAGATAAGATTGTCAACTATTCTCTCTAGCTTACATTAATCATTCAATCCAATTGAAATTTTTTTCTCTTTTGTGGGATGTGGGCATCACTGGCTAGGCTAGCATTTATTGCCCATCCCTAATTACCCACAAGGCAGTTAAGAGTCACCCACATTGCCGTGGGTCAGAAGTCACATGTAGACTACACTGTGTAAGGGTAGCAGATTTCCTTCCCTAAACAACATTAGTAAACTAGGTGAGCTTTGCAGAAGTTAGTGATAGTTGACATGGTCTGTCAATGCCGAGATTAAGTTCATAATTCCAAGTTTATTGTTATGTTTGAATACAATTACAACATTTAAAAGACATCTGGATGGGTACATGTATAGGAAAAGTTAACAGGGATATGGGCCAAATGCTGGCAAATGGCACTAGATTAATTTAGGATATCTGGTCAACATGGACGAGTTGGACTAAAGGGCCTGTTTCCATGCAATACTTCTCTATGATTCTATGACTTCATAGTCTTATCATCAGAGCATTGTCCAGGGCCAGTGGACTGCTCGTCCAATAACATTACCATTACTACAACGTAAGAACATAAAACATCAGTAGCCATTATAAGTACCCATTTCGTTCACTAATGTCCTTTAGGGAAGTCAGTCTGGTGTTGTTACCTGGTGTGGCCTATATGGCAACTCTGGACCCACAGTAATGTGGTTGAATCATAGAATCCTTACAGTGTGGAAGTAAGCCATTTGACCCATTGAGTCCACACTGACCTTCTGAACAGCATCCCACGCTCCCCCCATCTGGCTACCCTATAACCCTCTAATTCCCATGGCTAACCCATCTAACCTGCACAGCCCTGGACACTATGGGCAATTTAGCCTGTCCAATCCACCTCACCCGCACATCTTTGGACGGTGAGAGGAAACCAGAGCACACCCACGCAGACCTGGGGAGAATGTGCAAACTCTACACAGTCGCCCAAGGCTGGAATCAAACCAGAGTCCCTGGTGCTGTGAGGCAACAGTGCTAACCACTGAGCCACCATTTCACCCTTGACCCTTAAGTGCCCTCTGAAATGGTCCAGCAAGCCATTCAGTTTAAAGCCAATTATAGACAGGGAATAAATGTTGGACCCATCTTTTGAGCACACAAAAAATAAAAATTACACACTGCAACCATTAAAAAAATCAAATTGTTCTGAAATGATTTATTGATATTTTCCCTCTGTTTATTTTTAGGAACTAAGCATCTGAGCTCAAAATGCCTTCAAATGAAGAACATGATATGGACAATTCTGAAATAAGTGGTACATTAAGCTGATAACTTTGGGTTTGAATTGATGACTGGGCAATTGAATATTAAAAGTAGTAAAGACAATTGTAGCTATGAGGAGAGATTAGAGAGGTTGGGGTTATTTTCCTTGGAACAGAGAAGGCTGAAGGGTGACATGACTGAGGTGTACAGCATTGTGAGGAGTAGAGAAGGAGCAGACAGGAGGACCCTGGTTCCCTTGGCAAAGAGTTCAAAAACCAGGGGTCACAGATTCAAGCGAAGTGGCAGAAGGATTAGAGGGGCCATGAGGAAAAACATTTTTGCGCAGAGGATGATGGGTGTCTGGAATTCGTTGCCTGAGTTGGTGATGGGGGAAGAGACATTAAATTCTTTCATAAGGTAAATGAATCTGCACCCCAAGTGCTGCAAGCTGCAGGCCTATGAGCTGTGTACTGGAAGATGGGATTAGCGAGGACACCTTGGTGTCTTTGGGTTGCCATGGACAATATGGGCCAAATGGCCCCCTTTTGCACAGTATAATTTCTATGATTCTAAAAAAAGCTAAAGTCTGGTGGGGTGGTTGAGGCAGGAAACCTCACAACCTTTAAGAAGTGTTTGGACGAGCACTTGAAATGTCATAACATTTAAGGTTATTGGCCAAGTGCTAGAAAGTAGGATTAGTGTGGTTAGGTTAGCACAGATCCAATGGGCCAAAGGGCCACTTATGCGCTGTATACTTCTGAAATGAATAAGAACAAATACTTTTCTTTTGGAACATGAAACGAATTGATGGCTTGTTTTAGGTGCTGGTGATTTCCATTGAAGCTTTTCCCACTTAGTTACAATAATAACAAGTTTCGTTCTGCATCAAAAATGTTTTCTCTCATTCTGTTTCAGGTCAACACATCTCAGACAAACAGTTGATGGAATTAGCTGGAAAACTGGGAAACAGATGGCAGAGCTTAGCAATTCAACACCTAGACTTTAAGACATATGAAGTTGACAACTTCATTTCTGACGGAAACAGTAATCAAGACAAAGCGTTTAAAATGTTACAAGCTTGGAAATGTCGAGAAAAATGTCCAACAGTCAGGAGCTTGATCCATATTCTTGATAAAGCTAATATTGATGTTAATGCATGGTTATTTCTTTCGAATAAAGACAGTAACTGTAACGGTAAGTCTATTTTGCTGGAAAACACCAAGGTGTGTCAGTGTGTAAGTTTTGGTTCTTTGTTTAGTTATAATCATATGATTGAAGTATATTGATTGAGCAATGTTATACTTTAAAACAATGCATAAGAGGTTAATATTTTCTGTATTAGTTTTGCCTTTTAAAGTGTAATGGGTAACAAACTGTCTCTAAGCAGAAAAAATTGAATAAATGACTCCAAGGGAAAAAGCAAGCAGAGCAGTGGCTTAAACTCAAATCCCAATGATAATTTGTACATTTGAGATTTAACCAATAAAGCAATTGGGGACAGTCTAGTGCAGTTGCTTGGAAAATTTCACTTTGTTATAAAGTGTACTTGCTAAAGCTGGGCAGTGATTTTATGGGTGTACCTTGGCTTTTGGTTTCAGGACTGAAGAAGGGTAATACCCGAAACATTGATGACTCCTTTCCTCTAGATGCTGCCTGGCCTGTTGTGTTCTTCCAGACTCCTGTTTGTCTACCTTGGATTTCGGCATCTGTGGTTATGTGTTTTATCTATTTAATCTATATGTGCTCTTACACTCAACTGAATGTCTTCGCCACCTCCAAATCGCCATGATATTTTTAGTATGCTTGTAACTATTAACAGCCACCAGTAAAACGCCCATCAGCCAATTAGATAATTCCATGCAAAACCCATTAAGGGTAATGCAAACCAAAGTTTCTGCTTATTAACTCTTCCTGAGCCACAATCAACAGCATGATGAATTACACATTTTACTCTAATTGATCTAGGCTCGGTGAGGCTTACTACTAATTGGTTTCAGGAGTGTGTGATCAATCTTGAAATGGATCTTAAGGGTGATGGACATTGACTGATTTCACCTTCCACAATCTCCTGACTGCTTCCTTAAACTGTCAATCATCCATTGGTCCATGCGCATCATTAAATTTTGTTATTGTCATCTTTACCTCTTCTTGAAATCTTCTTTACCTCTCTCTTAAATTTAAAAAAGGGAGGCATTTGCAGTCAGGACTCAACATCCGATATCCATGAGCTCAAGCCTCAATGTTACTGAATTTGAGAAAGTTCCGATGAAATCAGATATTCACCTATCACTGAACGTCTGCTTTCTCCTTTGGAGTCAATTGTTCAATTTATTTTAATTTTGCTGCCTTTAAATTCCTTGGAAACCGTTACTTACCCTTTACACTTTAAAAGGTAAAACTAATACAGAAAATATTAATCTCTACAAATTGTTTTAAAGTCTAACATTGATCAATCAATATACTTTAGTCATGTGATTTATAATTAAACTAAGTTGATCATGAAATGTTAGTGTCCTTAAAAATATTCATTTTAATGGTTTGTCGGATTCTGTGAGATCACTGGGATGTGTCAATGTGCCTTTAAGGGTCAACTGGTAGACATTCTCCAATTCAACCTGTTCAGATGTTATTACATACCACTAGAGCAGATGGAACTTGAACTCAGATCTACTTGGATCAAAGGTAGGGCCAATACCACTGCGCCACAAGGGCTGTCCACGTGGAAGAAAGCTGCTGGAAGCATTTTTAGTCAACCAGTTCATGCCTATTGTGACACCCGAGCTGGAGAGAGTTGAACCTGGGCCTCCTACCTCAAAGGTAGGGCCTTACCACTGCTTTATAAGTGTTCTAAATGGACAACCAGAACAACTCCAGAGTTGATTGAAAGCAGGGATGCTCTTTGGGTTCAAGTCTCACTTACCCTGGAGATGTGTATTAACATCATGGAATCGGTGACGTAGAAATATCCACCTGATCTGAAGGTGGGTTGTTGTGTTGCAGTGGTAGTGTCCATACCTCTGGGGAAGGGGACATGAGTTCAAATTCTATCTGCTTCAGATGGTTTTCATAACGTCTCTCAACAGGTTAACTAGAAATTCTTGGTTCAGAGTTGTGTAATAACGTCACTTAATCGACTGATTAGGAAAATATCCAAGAGCTCTGTTCCACTCAGCTAAAGTAGTTCAGTTGGGCAAGGGTTAGACTGAGGCTCTAAGGTCCCTAGTTCACACCTGGGCTTTGACAGACTAAACAGGATGTTTCCACTTTTCACTTTTTTTGAGTATTCTTGCGGTTCAGTGGCTATGCCCCTATCTCTGAGCTAGGAGACCTGTGTTCAAGTCCACCTGCTCCAGAAGTTGTCCTAGCAACTCTGGACAGGTTTATTAGAAAGTACCTATAATGGAGCTGACACAACAGGTGGTGGAATTTCAAATCAATTAAAAAACTCTGGGATTGAAAGCTGACTTAGTAATAGTGATCATGAAACTGTCATTTATTGTCCTAAATCACAACCTGCTTCACTGATGTTGAAAGAAATAAGAGAACAGAGAACAGTACAGCACAGGATTAGGCCCACTAAGCCTGTATTGACACATAACACCTTTCTAAACTAAAAACCTTTTGCCTCTATGCAGTCTGTATCCTCTATTCCCTATTTATTCACATATCTGTAAAGATGCCTCTTAAACATAACTATTGTGTCAGCTTCTACCATCTCCCCTGGCGGCACATTCCAGGCACTTACCATCCTCTGTGCAAAATACTTGCCTCTCGTATCTCCTCTAAATGTTCTCCTTTTTGCCTTGTCTGCCCTCCTTACCTCTGACCTCAATGCGACTCCAGACCCACAGCAATGTGGTTGACTTTTAATGATCTTCTGAAATGGCCTAGCGAGTCATTCAGCTGAAGTGCTGTTATGGATGGACAACAATAAAGTTGATCTTCCCATATCGCAAGTAGACCCAACTCCTTAAGTCTATGTGAATAAATAAGGGCCTTTCTCATAGACATTTTAAGCTTCGTGCATATTTTATTGCTAATAAAAATCTGTTTCTCTTCAGAATTGAGATGCAAATGTTGTCATAAAATGGACTGCCAGTGCAAATGCGAGGCTATTCGAGGTAAGAGCCCATTGACTTGTGTTCCTAAGCCTCCTGTTTGCCTTATCCACATTCTTATGTGAATTTTTAGAAAGGGTATGCAGTAAAACTTTTACCAAATCTCCTCACCACTCCTTCAAAAGAGATAATAGGAGTGGCATACCTCCCTCCCTTGGTTAAGAAAAATTCACAGATAATTGAGCCTTGCCCAGCGTCAGCAGAACAATTGTGTAGGGACCACAATAAACTAGACAAAGGCATATGTATAATATATGTCATCAATCAATGTCATTTATTTTAAGCTTTATCAGATGGTGGGGTTTGTTCGTGGAGTATAGTAGGAGTACTGTGCTGAGTAACTCACCTCCTGATTCCCCAAAGCCTATCCATCATCTACGAGGCATAAGTCAGGAGTGTGATGGAATACTCCCCACTTGCCTGGATGAGTGCAGCCCCAACAACACGCGAGAAGCTTATCACCATCCAAGAAAAAGCATCCCGCTTGATTGATTCAGAGATAGTAGGAACTGCCGATGCTGGAGAATCTGAGATAACAAGGTGTAGATCTGGATGAACACAGCAGGCCGAGCAGCATCAGAGGAACAGGAGAGCTGCGACCGCATCCCAAAACCAGCCCAGCTCATCCCCATCTCCCTAATCTGTCCGTCCTTTCTCCCACTTCAACCCCCACCTCCACCTCCTACCTACCAGTCTCATCCCCACCTCCTTGACCTGTCCGTCTTCCCTTGACTGACCTACCCTCATCCTAGCTCCCCACCTACACTCACCTTTACTGGCTCCATCCCCGCCTCCTTGACCTGTCCGTCTCCTCTCCACCTATCTGCTCCTTTATCTACTTCCATCCGCCTCCCCCTCTCTCTCTATTTATTTCAGAACTCTTTTCCTCTCCCCCATTTCTGAAGAAGGGTCCAGACCCGAAACGTCAGCCTTCCTGCTCCTCTGATGCTGCCTGGCCTGCTGTGTTCATCCAGCTCCACGCCTTGTTATCTCCGCTTGATTGATTAATTGATTGATCGTCACGTGTACCGAAGTACAGTGAAAAGCTTTGTTTACGAGCATTACAGACAGATCACAGTAAGCAGGGGTGTATAGATCAAAAGTTGTAAAAAGAACTTGAGAGAGGCATACAGGTTACGTTGCACAAGGTGTGCGTTAGGCGAGATCAACATTAGCAAGTCAGCATTATTTGAGGTCAGGGAGTGCATTCATCAGTTCAATAATGTGGCAAATAGGTAACTTAATGAGAGAAGTGGGATTACATGGGATTAAGAAGACACAGGTAACTTGGGTACAGGAGGCAGAGGTAAACAAGATATTAGAGAGAATTTCACAGCGGTGTGCTACAGTAAAAGCTGAAGGAACTGCAGATGCTGTAAATCAGGAACAAAAACAGAGGTTGCTGGGAAAGCTCAGCAGGTCTGGTAGCATCTGAGGAAAGGTCACCGGACCTGAAACGTTAACTCTGATTTTTCTTCACAGATGCTGCCAGACCTGATGAGCTTTTTCAGCAACTTCTGGTTTTGTTCCTGGTGTGCTACATTAGTTGGTTTAGAGATTCTTGCTTGCTTTTATGTATAATTGACCCTACTCCTGTAGGGGGTACAAATTTGATGGTTGGAAAGATATAGAATTCGGCAACACAATAAACAATAAGGATGATAGTAACATGGCAGTCATGTGGGTGATGTGATTTATTGCAGATAAATGATCTGATGAATCACAGAATAGTTACAGAACTTGGCCCCTTGTGTCTGAACTGATTGTCTGAGCAATTTAACTCAGTGTAAATCACCTGTCTTCAACTCATAACCCTTTTCTCCCATTAAGAGATAATCAAAGTTTACTGGTATTGTCACTGGACTGTTAAGCTAGAGTCCCAGCTAATGGCCTGTGACCTGGGTTCAAATCCTACCATGGCAAATGGTGGAATTTGAATTTAATAAAAATCTAGAATTAAGAGTCTGAGGATGACCATGAAACCATTGGTGATTGTCGGGAAAAAAAAAACCCAGCAAGTTCACAAATGTCCTTTAGGGAAGGAAACTGCTGTCCTTACCTGGTCTGGCCTTCACGTGACTCCAGACCCACAGCAATGTGATTAACCCTTAACTGCCCTCTGGGCAATTAGGGAAATGTCATAAGCACTGGCCTAGCCAGTGACTTATATTAACCCTGTTTCTCTCTCTGCCAATGCTGCCAAACCAACTGAGTTTCTCCAGCAATTTCTATTTTTAACTGAACTTACTAATTTTGTGCTGTATGTGACTATGTTAAGTAAATTAATAAGTATCAGTGTTTTGATGAAACATAATTCATGGATGACATTCAACTTTTCTTTTTCTTCAGGACATATTTTCTCCAGCCCAAATACCAATGGATATAGTGAGTAACAAGTTGGCTATCTAACAAAATTATACCAAACACAAATGATGACTTCCTCATTCCAGGAACCCCTCCTTAAATAAGGTGACTAAACTATAAACACAATAATCCCTACACTGTGGAAGTAGGCCATTTGGCCCATTATGTCCATACTACCCTTCCAATAAGCATTGCACCCAGACCCACCTTATTCCTACAACCCTGCATTTCCCATGGCCAATCCACCTAACCTACGTATCTCTGGACTGTGGGAGGAAACCCACAGTGACAACATGCAAACATGTAAACTCCACATAGACTGTCACCCAAGTGTGAGAATTGAACCCAGGTCTCTGGTACTGTGAGGCAGCAGTGTTAACCACTAAGCCACCATACTGTACAATACTTTAGGTGTTATGGACCAGGCCAAACCCACTCAAAATATATCAAGGATATATCCTAAACCCTGACTCTTATCTTATTTAGAAGCAAGTGTAAGGTGCAACATTCCAGATGCAATTCGATTTGTCAAACTACTAGGTTTTCAGCAAAACACACTTAATTCTTATACAACCATTAAAGTACGAACAAAAAAAGAATAATTAACATAACTCTAACTTTATTGAAATACTTAGCAAAATAATACATATATTTTAAGTACTACTCCTCAACTGTTCCAATATAGCAGGATCCCATAAACACACCCATGGCAAAGGCAAAATCAGCAAAACAGTGTTATTCGCACTCTAATCCAGCAGAATGAAACACTTATGGAATGAATCTAGCAGCAGAGACAGAACTCCAGCTTTTGCAGCAGCAGAGAGAGTGAGCTGTGTCAAGCAGTTTCCTCCAAAACACCAGCTTCAACAACTAAAAGCAAAAACTAAAATCCTGGGTCTGCATGAGCCTGACTCCACTCACTCATGCTTCTTTTGTATATTTTTAATAAAAAGCTATTTACCCCGCTTTGTATAGAGCAGATGCCTTTACAACACCTGTTTTTCAAGAGGACGGAACAAATCTCTCTTAAAGGCACACATTATCACATGAGACAAGGTCTCACCAATCCTCAATAGGACAGTGTTTCCATTCCTTTTGCAACAAATTACTTATTGTGCCTGCGTGCCAATGTTTCATGGTTCAAGTCCAAGAATGCTCAGACCCCTCCGTACTGCACCATTCTCTCTCCATTTAAATAGGTACCAATTGGTGCCAAATAGACATGGTCATCTCATTCTGTGCATTAATCTGCCCACTGAACCATTTTATGCTGGAGATTTAGCACCTTTCCCCTTCCAGCTCCAGCAGCCATGAAGTCATGAGCAGAGTTGGACAGCAAAGACGTGACCATGCGTCCAGTTCTGCCAGGTATTCTTTCCCTGTCATGGACAGGAAACATTCGCCTTAAAGCCTGATTGATGACTCCATTGGTTTAAATGGATCCGTTAATCTTAACATTGCTCAACCTGCCCTCAGTGACAGTATGAAACCATCCTCCCCATCCCTTGATAGTGTTCAAGGTGTTCTCTGACAGAGTTGGCCCCCTCTCGCACCCCTGACAATGTTCGCCTTGCGATGAGTGGGAGAATAGGATAAGGGCAGCATCATTAGGATGAGTATGGGGCTTGCAAGAAAACCTTAGGCCTTGCAGACGAGAAATCCTCCATGAAACTCACCAAGAGTGACACTGGCTGATTTCTGGTAAGTTTCAACCTTACATGTGATCCTCTGAGCTAAGATAATTTCTCATGATTGTCCAGCTCTTGCCCTTTATCAACAGTGTTACCTCAGCTCCTTTTCCTTTTCCTCTTGACCCCTTCCAAAATGTCAAAGCATAGAATCATAGAATCACAGAATCCCTACAGTGTGGAAGCAGGCCATTTGGCCCACTGGGTCAACACCAGCCCTCTAAAGAACATTCCCCCCACCTTATCCCAGTAGACCTGCATTTCCCATGGCTAATCCACCCAACCTGTACATCCGCGGATACTAATACTCTAATACCCTCAAATATCCAGATCCCGGCCATGGTCTGCCCCTTAAAGAGTGCAGCAATTCAGTCTGAAGCCTAGTGGAGGTCTCGAAAAGAAATTCTGAAGAAGGGTCTAGGCCTGAAACGTCAGCTTTCCTGCTCCTCTGATGCTGCTTGGCCTGCTGTGTTCATCCAGCTCTACACCTTGTTATCTCAGATTCTCCAGCATTTGCAGTTCCTGCTATCTCTATACTCTGGCAGCTAAGGTTAAGAACGCAGTAAATAATTGTGTGGTAATTCATGCTGTCTAATGCCTTTTTTGTCTGCTTTCGTCCACAGATTGTTCGGTTAAAGCAGTTATAGTTAAAGCTAACAATGCCCAGAAAGAAGGAACTGATGCCCTGGAAAATCTATTTAAAGAACAATTTGAAACTAACTTTGACCTCCTCTTAAAATTTCGAAAAATTGTTAATTCTGTGGAGAATAAAATTCTGAACATTGTACCAGGGTGTGTGGAGATCCGTCTGCAGATTTTATCTTATGCTTCTCTCCTGGATCTCAGCCTGTTACATGTAATGGGAGGCTCTGAAAGGACAAAGCAGCTTCCACCTTTACACCAGAAGCTACAAGATGCTGTGGAAGAAGCACTTTCAGATGTGAAAATAACGACCGAGATGCTTTCTTTCACCAACTATTTCGAAGGCGGATCTTACAGAAAAGCAGTGGAATATTTTTGCAGAGGTAGGTCTTTGGGAAGGGTGGAATAACAGAGGTAAAGTGATTTAAAGTTTTGGCAAAGATCTGTAGCTCGGGTTGTGCATGAGGTTGTTGACTTGCTCGCTAAGCTGGTTTGTTATTGTTCAGACGTTTTGTCACCATGCTGGGGGACATCATAAGTGGAGCCTCCGATGGAACGATGTTATTCTACTCAGGTTGGAATTTATACTGTCCAGTCCGTTATGGTGAGTAGTGTCATTTCCGGTTTTGATCTGTATGTGTTTATATATAGGGTTCAATTCTATATGTTTGTTGATTGAAGTATGGGTGGAGAACCATGCCTCTAGGAATTCCTGTGCGTGTCTATGTTTGGCTTGGGCTAGTTTGGTTACCTTGTCCCAGTTAAACTGATAGCCTTCATTGTCTGAATGTACAGGTATTAAGGAGAGTTCATCGTGCCGTTTTGCTGCTAATTGATGTTCATGTATTCTGATGGTTAGTTTCCTTCATGTCTGTCCAATGTAATGTTTGTGGCAGTCGTTGCACAGTATTTTGTAAACCACGTTGGTTCTGCATGTTGTGGGAATGGGGTCTTTAATCCTTGTGAGTGTTTGTCGTAGAGTGGCTGTGGGCTTGTGGGCCACCATGATTCCTAGTGGTCTTAGGAGTCTGGTTGTCAGTTCCGATACGTTCATGTAGGACAGTGTGGCCAGTGTGTTAGGTTGTATTGTGTCCTCCTGTTGTTGTCTGTTTTGTAGGCATCAGTGGATGAAGTTATGGGGATATCCGTTTAAAGCGAGATCTTGTATAAGTGTTCTTCCTCTTCCTGGCGTAATTCTGGAGTGTTGCAGTGTGTCTTGGCCCGTTTAAATAGTGTCCTAATGCAGCTTTGTTTGTGGACGTTGGGTTGGTTGCTGTGGAAGTTGAGGATTTGATCCGTCTGGGTTGCTTTTCTGTATACTGAGGTTTGGAACTCCCTGTTTGTCAGTCGTTCTACCTTAACATCCAGAAACGGAAGTTGATTGTTGGTTTCTTCTTCCCTTGTGAATTTAATCCCTGTGAATACACTGTTGATGAGGTGGTGGGTCTCTTCCAATTTGTTGCATTTAATAATGACAAATGTGTTTGTACCAGATCCACAGTTTAGGTTGAATGTGGGGGAGGGTGGTTTGTTCTAGTCTTTGCATGACTGCTTCTGCGATGAGTCCTGAGATGGATGATCCCATTGGTGTACCATTGATCTGTTTGTATATCTGACCATTAAAGACAAAGTGTGTGGTGAGGCAGAGGTCTAGTAGTTTAAGTATGTTGTCCTTGCTGATGGAGCTGCTGGTTTGTGTAACTGATTCCTTGAGTAATGCGGCCACTGTTTCTTTAGCTAGTGGGATGCCGATTGATGTGAATAAAGCTGTGACATCAAAGGATACCATAATCTCGTCGTCGCTGATTTTTATGTCCTTGAGGGTATTGAGGATATCTTGGGTTGAGTGGATAGAATGAGGTGATCCTTCTACTAGGTGTTTCAATCTCTGTTATAGGTCCTTGGCCAGTTTGTGTGAAGGTGTGCCTGGTAGGGAAACAATGGGTCTGAGAGGGAAGTCTGATTTATGTACTTTAGCCAACCCATAGAAATGGAAGGTGTTTGTGCCTTCTGGTTTCATACTCATGTAGGTCTATCTTGGTTATCTGCCCTGCAATCATTAAACGATTCAATGTCTGGGTGATCCTATTACCTAGCTGCAGCGTTGGATCTATTGCCACCTGTTGGTACGTGGTTATATCTGCAAGCAATGTCAGTGCTTTCTTAACATAGTCTGGCAAAGTGGATGAGATACAAAGAACATGAGGAAGGACCAGTCTGGCTTTAAATGAATAGCCCTTTTGATCTCCGCCATCAAATGTCACCATAGTCCCAGAGGACCTTAGGGCTGCTCTTCCGTTAGTGAAACAGAGACAACTGGTGGTGAATTTAAACTGAGGGTCACCATAGCTCAGGCAAGGGGCAAGGTGGGACCTCAGCTTGTGTAGGAATTGTACCCACACTGTTGGCAGCATCATTCTGCATCACAAACCTGCTGCCTTGCCAACTGAGCCAACAAGGCCCCAAAGATCAAGGGCATAGGGGCAGGACAAGGCCATTCAAATCTGTGAACCTGCTATTCAGCTAGATTACAGCGGATCTCCTACCTCAATGCCATTTTCCCACACTATCCCCATGCTCCTTGAGATTTCATGCATCTAGAAATCTATTGAACTCTGTCTAAAACATTCCCAGTGAGTGAGCCTCGACAACATTCTGAAGTAGAGAATTCCAGAGATTCACCATCGTATGAGAGACGAAATTCCTCCTCATGCATGTCTTAAAAGGATGACCTTTTATATTGGAACTCTGCACCTTTAACCAGAATACCTGAGTTAACTTTGTTCTATTTTAACATTAGTTAATTGTTATGACCAGTTCCCTAGAAATCTGTCTTCTTTTTTGGATTCACGTGATTTTCATGTCGAGACCTGGTTAGGAAAGTAACTTGGGGTCCTCTGTCATTACCTTCAGGATCCTTGAACCTGCCTCAAATATAATGGTTGTCCCCCACGTTAGACCAAATCTGAAGAGCCTTACAGAACCAAAAGGGATGTGACTGCCATCTAGAACAAGGAATCAAGGTATCTGCCCCTACCCACTCCTCCCCCCAACTCAACCCTATGCCCCCAGCACATTGTGGGGCTGGAAACCTGGATCCCAGCTCACTCCCTCAGAACCACATTTCCTCATGATGCGGAAGTTGTTGCTGTGGGTCAGACCAGTTCCCATGTGCTATAGCCACAATAGATCACTCAGTTTGCCATTCTTACCTTGTTTAAGTTAATGGAATTGGGAGGGTCATATTGCAGCTGCACAGGACATTGTTTAGGTCACTTTTGGAATACTGCATTAAATTCTGGTCTCCCTGCTGTAGGAAATATGTCGTTAAACTTGAAAGGGTTCAGAAAAGATTTACAAGGATGTTGCCAGGGTTGGAGAGTTTGAGCTGTAAGGAGGGGCTGAATAGGCTGGGGCTATTTTCCCTGGAGCATCAGAAACTGAGGGGTGACCTTACAGAGGTTTATAAAAGCATGAGGGGCATGGATACGGTGAATAGCCAATGTCTTTTCCCCAGGGTAGGGGAGTCCGAAACTACAGGGCATAGGTTTAAGGTGAGAGGGGAAAGATTTAAAAGGGACCTGAGGGATACATTTTTCACACAGAGGGTGGTGCATGTATGAAATGAGCTGCCAGAGGAAGTGGTGGAGACTGGTACAACTACAATATTTAAAAGGCATCTGGATGGGTACATGAATAGGAAGGGTTTAGAGGAATATATGCCAAATGCTGGAAAATGGGGCTAGATTTATTTAGGATATCTGGTTGGTAGGGACAAGTTGGACCGAAGGGTCTGTTTGCGTGCTGTATGTCTCCACGATTGCATAATTCTCTGAGTTTCACATTCGAGACAGACTGAAAAGGCAGTGAGACAGAGTGGAAAAGGCAAAGTGAGGGAGACAGGGAGAGAGAGAGAGAGAGAGAGACAGAGAGAGAGAGAGAGGAAAATGCAGAGTTAAAGAGACAAAGAGAGTGAGACAGAGCTGTTAAAGCTTATGTTTAATAGAGACTGGTGAGTTTTATTTAGATCTGAATTTCTAGAGTATTTCTGTTTACATTCAGTGTTTTATTCTATTTTACAAATTATTTTAATTAAGAACGCACAATGCTACACACGAATGGTACAGTATTTCAACTTGTACTTTGGTTTCTTTGGGTAAGAAATTGTCTGAAGGAACCTAACTCTAGATTTAACTTTGATTCTTAAGGGAAACTGTAATTCACTTAAAGTTGTCTCACTTAAAGTAGTGTTTTCCATTAATACTATCTTAACTTTAAGTAAGAACATCTTGCTATTCTCTTATTCCAGAATAAATATTTGACGTCTCCTCATTCACCTGTTTGTGCCCCACTATAACTTATGTAGCACCTTTAACATTGCCAGTAGCTTGCTGGATGAGAGAGTTAGATCAAGGCAACAAAACTTAATTAAATCTTGGAAGGGAGATGAATGATAAAAATTGGTTTAATAATACTGAAGATAATTATGAGTCATTTTGACAGCATAGCAAGTAGAGTAACTGGGCAAAATAAAAATGTGAAAATTGCCTGTCAGAAAATGTTAACCGAATTAGAAAGGTTATTATAAGTGTGCCAGAAGCAAAAGAATTGTTAAACCAAGTGTATGGAATTCGTACAACCTGGAAGCAGGCCATTCAGCCCATCGGGTCCACACTGACCCCCCAAACAGCATCCCACCCAGGCCCACCTCATCCCTGTAATCCTGCATTTCCCATGGCTAGTCCACCTAGCCTGCATATCCCTGGGCATTACGGGCAATTTAGCACGGCCAATTCACCCTACCCTGAACATCTTTGGTCTTTGGAAGGAAACTGGGGCACCGGGAGGAAATTCATGCAGGAGGATGTGCAAACCCACTGGGTTGCCAGTTGCCAGAGGGTGGAATCAAACCCAGGTCCCTGGTACTGTGACACAGCAGCGCTAACCACTGAGCCACTGTGCCATCCCCAAGTATGGAACTACTTAAGGAAAGGAGTGGTTGCATTAATTGAAGAAGGCTTGGTAGAAATATGAAATAAATGGTAGAATGTTCCACTTGTTGCTCTGCAGAGCAGAGAGTGAAAACTGGAGGGACCCCATTACCCTTTAGATTTTGTGCCTTAACTGGACACCTGGTGGTCTTACTGCACAGATCACATCCCGGGATAGGAATGCCCTGCTCTGCTGGAAGCTGCCAGCCAAATAGAACGTGGCAGTACGCTCTGCTGGGATTATAGGGAGGTGCAGGAAAAAAAGACATTGCCATCAGATGGAGAGCTAACTTTTCTCTTTGTATTCATTCATGGGATGAGGGCCTTTCTGGCTAGGTTGGTCTTTATTGACCTTCCCTAATTGAGGTTGAGAGTCAATTACATCGCTGTGG